CTTACCATCTGGTCTACAAGAAGCAGTGTTGTTTCTGACAGCATTGGCGTGACACACCTATATTTCTTCTGTTATCCTTCTCTGTGGTCAAATAGAGCATCTGTCCAGAGAGCGGTTGATCAGTGATTTGAACCTCTGACAGATCAAGACGTTGACAGATGGTACTTCTACGACTTGTTCTTGTAACCCACGTCGTAGTGATACAGGTGGCGAGATGCTAAATCCGGATATAACACGTGTGTAGGAAACACGTGTGACGTGGTCACATAATCTCCGCCCACTGATGAATATTCATGTCTATTCTACACTTAAAACCATTCTACCTTTGAGGTCACAACACATGTGTGTCGTTCAAGGTAGAGCTCGTTTTATAGGTTTGTTATGTATATTTCAGCATGTGTATTCATTAGTTTGAAATAAATCATCTTGTACATCAACACTTGGACGAAAATGTTATGAAAACGTCCAAGTTACATTTCGCCAAATGTTTTGGAAATGTTTTTAAAAGGTTTTATTCACGTGAATTTGCATGCTATCAGAAATGTTCCATTATTCTGAGATAAATCATACTATATACAACCGTTTTCTGTACACATTTGGTTATAACATCTTAACGGTTTTGCAAACTATTCCCGAAATGTTCCATTATTTTGAGATATATCATACTGTACATTCCATTTTTTTCTGTGAACATCTTGTCATAAGATTATAATAACGTTTCAGCAAAATATTTCAGAAATGCCCAGTTATTTGGAGATAAATCATTCTATACACCCCGGCTCAAACTACAAATGTTTCAAAAACACCCACGAAATATTTCGCCAAATATTTTCAATTTGTATCATTCCAGAAACATTTTAGCATCTTGTTTCTGTAAAGATTTGGTTAGGTCTCTCTCTCAACCCTCAACCCTTGAAGATCCGGGTTAGAATTGGTCTTCAGTAACTCCGTAAGAGGCGACTAACGGGATCGGGTGATCAGACAAACTGACTTGTTTGACACATGTTATCGTATCCCAATTGTGTTGATCGATGCTCACGATATGTTTATCACTGGATTGTCTGATCCAGACTCTGTTATTTACAGACCGCCGCCAGCTGGGATATTGCTGAGTGCGGCGTTAAACAACCAACCATCTAACCAACCCAATCTCTGGGCAACGTCGTATCGAGTCACGTCGGCAGATTCTACGTACGTTTCCTTAGAACCTTTTTCTTATCAGCTGTGTTTAATAGTATTTCGGCGTTACATCACGTGAGCTGTGTCTAACAGTATTTCGGCCTTACATCACGTGAGCTGTGTCTAACAGTATTTCGGCCTTACATCACGTGAGCTGTGTCTAACAGTATTTCGGCCTTACATCACGTGAGCTGTGTCTAACAGTATTTTAGCGTTACATCACATGAGCTGTGTCTAACAGTATTTCGGCCTTACATCACATGAGCTGTGTCTAACAGTATTTTAGCGTTACATCACATGAGCTGCGTCTAACAGTATTTCGGCCTTACATCACATGAGCTGCGTCTAACAGTATTTCGGCCTTACATCACATGAGCTGTGTCTAACAGTATTTCGGCCTTACATCACGTGAGCTGTGTCTAACAGTATTTTAGCGTTACATCACGTGAGCTGTGTCTAACAGTATTTTAGCGTTACATCAAGTGAGCTGTGTCTAACAGTATTTCGGCGTTACATCACGTGAGCTGTGTCTAACAGTATTTTAGCGTTACATTACGTGAGCTGTGTCTAACAGTATTTCGGCCTTACATCACGTGAGCTGTGTCTAACAGTATTTCGTCCTTACATCACGTGAGCTGTGTCTAACAGTATTTTAGCGTTACATCACGTGAGCTGTGTCTAACAGTATTTCGGCGTTACATCATGTGATCTGGACGTTTGCGGCACACCATGTCTTAGAATTACAATGGCAAAGAGGGGATAACCTGTTATTGTTCCCATCCCAATTTCAATTTTTTATTCTCATAAACCACCTTGGTGGTACAAGAGCATATATTGTAAACATATATACAAATACAAATTCAAGTACAAGATTGCAGAACACAACATATTAACATTTTTTCTGACAAGAGATGATAGATGTACGACTTCGAGATGTTTTTACAGATAATAGTTTCGTGAACTTTGTTTCACTGGGAAAAGAGGTTAGATGGGTGGGTAAATATTAAATTGTTTCCTCAAAGTATCAAATGCTTTGCAATGAAAAATATAATGATATTCATCTGCAAGTGCATAGTTGTCAATTTCTTTCGCCCCTTGGAATATTATACCAGCGGCCCGTCTCAATAGGTAACTATGGTTACATGTTCTAAATCTCAATAATGGTAAAGAAATCCCACTGGCACAACTGCTCATTATTCAACAAATAAAGACGTTGAATTCTGTTTCGGCGTTGTCTCTGAAACACTGACGGCCTTGTGTAAGCTTTTTCCCTCTTTGGAGGAACAACAGCACCAGTTTCCATTACATGGGAAAGTTTTTCGAAGGCTTTGTGGACTAACTGGAACGTCCAAAACTCGGAATTACGAGAAAAGAATCGAAGTAACGTGAATATACTAGGAATTTCGAGAAAAATATTAAAATACAGAGGAAATAATGGAAGCTATGAGAAAAAGTTCGAAATTTCGAGTTTTCGAAAGTAACTTGAACTAACGAAAAATGATCGAATCGATTATTTACTGACAACCATCATATAGCTGGAATATCGCTGCAAAACAAAACATTATCCTATTCAGACAATGACCACTTTTCAGTCGATCCAAACTTTCTTGTGTGAAAGTGAAAATAGACATCCCAAACAACTATGGTTACACTGAATTCCAATTCCTTGTTACATAAGAAAATGGTATTTACAAATGAATTTTAATTTTAAACTTTAATAACATCGTATGGCGAGGTGTAGGCAGCATGACTTTAACTAAGACGTCACAGACTGCCCCTGTTTGATGAGGTCGTAAAATGATTCACAATGCATCTGGCTCACTGGTTACACCTGTTATGTGTTTTTTGCGCTTATTCAGTGTCGTTCTGTAACGCACAATGTGAATGATATAATATCAGGTCCGTACCAGACCGCCAAACGTTTCTAGCGGGAGAGCCTCGTTTTGAGATTTCCAGGTTTCCGTTTGTCAGAGCTCCTGTACGACAGAGCACGCTGCACGATGTGTTTGCAAGGATTAGAAGGAGCGTAGTGTTGCAATATGCAAGTGCTTAGATGTATCAAATAATACTTATTAATAATTATGTATCCAGTTAAATGAATTGGTCTCACAATTCTGGACTGGTTATTGTACTAAGTTGTGCAATAGGTCGGGACTCAGTCAACAGGAAACGAGACTGTTGTGTAATCAATGTTTTGACTTACGGACATCTCACTAACAAAACATGTTTTATGAAACTACAAGTAACAAACTATAGTTTAAAAGTGAGTGAAATTATCGACTCTAAGTGTATAGATAGGACATAATATTCTGAACCTCATTTGAGAATTGGTTTACAAGCACGGGGTACCCCAACGTCCAAAATATGTTGTAAGGGGTGGGGGGGGGATGGCAGGATATACGCCATTTTGTTTTATGACGTCATTATTTTTCTCACGGACAGCTGAGTACAAGGTCATTGACCCCCCCGGTGAAACGAGGTCAGCCAGGTGTTCAATGACGTCATAAACAAAATGGCGTATATCCTGCCATACCCCCCTCTACAACAAAAATATATATCTCTGCCATCATTGAACAAAGTGTAAATCCAATCTTCATTTAAGCACTGTTTAACATCTATAATATTATTTTGAAACGAAAACATGCATGCAAGTTATAATATTTATTATTCATATTTAAATTCAATTAAGAATTACAGCGCAGTTTCCAGTTACCCACTGATGAAATTTGCACAGACCGTGACTAATCTAGTCAAAGGGCTTGTTTGTTTGCTCTTTAACGCCCTACTCAGCAATATTCAAGGTTTTGATCTATGTGTAACTGAGTCTAGATCAGACAATCCAGTGACTCACATCATGAGCAACGATTTACCCAGTTGGGAAAGGATGATGCGTTTTAACAAGTCATCAAACCTGACTGATGATAGGTAAAGGCCGGTTCTGCCCCAGCTGAACGATGGAGCCGAGGTAATTATAGAAATGCGTCATGACAAGGTGTGGTGCAATATTCAGGCTATGTATAGTAGAGGGAATCCCTTCACTAAAGATAGCGAGAGAGGCGCCAGCTACGAATCTGACGTGATTGTTTCATCCTGTCTGAGGTTAGAAGTGAAAATACTTAGACTAAAGATAATGACAAGCTATGAATGGGATAGCTCTTTATAAATGTTCATAGGTAATGGTTTGATATTCTTACAAGACAAGCAGGACTATATTATAGGAAAGAATGTTATTGTGAACCCCATTGAGAGGGAAACTGGGTCGAACATAGTGAGACGCTGGCTCACTTCAGACGCCTATTGTATACAAACCCTAATGGATCATTCATAGCCTTACATTGATGCTTATAAAGCCAGGTGGTTTTTGTTAGAAATGTAAATCCTAGTCTAAAGTTAGAAAGGTTATATATTTGGATCATTGGTAGGAAGGAAAAAATACGGATTTTCTCAATAGCTCTCTCCATAGGTTATACATGTATTTATAACCTCTCAACTACTGTGGGTGAAATGGGGACACTGTTTCAAACACTCGCTGCGTTTCTTGATGACAGATCACGTAGAGTAGATAAGAATATTTAAATCAAAGCAACCATATATATATATATATACTTTTCTGTAACGGTATGCGCGATCCAGTTCTGTATGTATGGGATTCTATCTTTCGTAGACTGTGTGCGCAGGTTGAAACATGAGTAGAAATGAGTGAAGAGTGATGCTGTGAACTAAGCAGTTATCTCCCTTCCCAATTTCATTTCAAACAGATAACTAATGTTCACTTATGCTGGTTGCATGTTTTCTATATAAAAGAGTCAAGAGCGGTTGGCGGGTTATTCAAACTGCTGTCAGCACGGAGTAAGGACCGCGAGGGAGCTCTCTACACATACTGCAGTGTGAAAGAAACATTTTGAAAGGTGGGCGAACAGCACCACTGCGTAACCAACACATTTTCAGAGTAATATCAATCAAGTTTATGTGAATGGGGGTTATTTAAAATATAATACTATTTCACTGGCCCCATATTGTAGGCTACAATACGTAATTGTATAAGTTACATTATAAACTACACCCTTGTGTATATAGAGTCGATAGTATTTAACACACTACCTCTTGTATTACAGGATGTCAGAAAAACAAAGGTTGCTGGACTGTGTGGATTCTTTGTATGATTTAGAGAAATGGGCTGCAGACAATGGATTGATACATGATGCAGATGTGAATTTAAAACGTATTGAACTGCTTGCAAATAACATTAGCCATAGGGAAAATGTGACACCCTCTCAAGCACAGCACACTTGTCATACATGCGCTAAGACATTCACACAGAAAAGAAATCTTCTCCGCCATGTTAGGACAGTGCACAACAACGAGAGATATAACTGTGAGCAATGTGGAAAATGTTATTCCCGCCTGGACGCACTTCAAAGTCACAAATGTGAAACTACTATTAAGAGGAAGGGAAGTGAAACAGCAGCAGAACCGCCGGCAAAACGTTCCTGTCTACATCCACTGAACACGGATTCTAATGTACCAGCCAGATTTCATACGTGTAATTTTTGTGGAAAGTACAAATGTTTGCTACCCGGGAAATTGTTCTGCGAATACTGTGCTCATCGGGGAAGGGAATGCATGAATTGTCACCGTCCTCTCCCTGAGCGCTTCTACAGTGAGCGTGTGAACCAGTGCGACAGCTGTGTGAGGAGACGCCAACGTTATGAAGCAAGGCAGGTAAACCAGACTGGAGGAGGTCAGACTGGAAGGGTCGCTGAGGACAACAACAATTACCCCCAGTGAAACAAACAATGTTGACATTCTACAGTTTTGGGCTGATGAACAGTTCAACATACAGACAATTTTGCATGATTTTATGACAAAGAAGAAAGGTATGAAATGGTTTCTTACATTAAGACTGAAATTCATTAAATATGATGAGAATAATGAAAGCATGTTGGCCGAACCCGTTTTAAGAACCACAAACTATTGGGTAACTAATTCATCTGAAATAGACGAGCAGTTAGCTGAAGCGTTTCAGAAGTTGTATACCTCATCTCAAGAGTTTCAGGCTGAGGGGAGCGGGTGGATGTTGGATGGTATCATTCATCTTGAGGTGAATACAGCTGAATATGTTCCTCTGTCAGCAAGCTCATACATTCCTCTCCCCAAGTATGTGGCAGAAAAGAAAGCTGTTTTGAATATTAAAAATAATGACCAAAAATGTTTTATATGGTCCGTATTGGCAGGTCTGCATCCTTTAGATAGAAAGCAACATCCCGAGAGGGTTTGTAAATATCTTCCATTTCTATCTGAGTTGAATCTTCAAGGCATTGATTTCCCCATACATCTGTCCCAAATTCCGCAATTTGAGAAACAAAATCAAATCTCAGTGAATGTCTTTGGATATGAAGAGAAGATGTTTCCTCTCCATATTAGCAAACAAAAGTGTGACAAAACAGTATATGTATTGCTACTCTCTCATGGAGAGAAGAGACATTTTTGCTTGATTCGAAATTTTAGTCGCCTTATGGGGGACAGAACCAAGCATGAACACAACCAGTTTTACTGCAGGCGTTGTCTACATGGGTTTTGCAGACAGGATTTGTTAGGGGATCATTCCATTTATTGTTCTGAGCACAGTCCGCAGAAGATCCGATTACCAAATGAATATAACAAATGGATTCAATTTGATTCTATACAGAAACAGCTAAAAGTACCCTTTGTCATTTATGCTGACTTTGAGGCACTGACCAGAAAAGTCAGTGAGGGTAACAAAACAGGAAATACCACCCTCTATCAACAGCATGAACCTTCTGGTTATTGCTATAAAGTTGTCTGCTCAAATCCCGAATTTACAAAACCATCAGTAGTGTACCGGGGACCTGATGTCATTTCTCATTTTATTGACGCTTTATTACAAGAAGAGAAAGTCATCAATGAAAAACTAAAAACGTCATATCCTATTGATATGACAAAAGAAGCAGAATTGAACTTTCAAATGGCAGATACCTGCCATGTTTGTCAAGAACCTTTCGATTCAGAATCTGTCAAGGTGCACGACCACGATCACATGGTAGAAAGAAATAATTATCGTGGTGCTGCACATAAGGATTGCAATCTCCAACTGAAATTCAAAAAGAGTAAGAAAGAGAAAAGGGGAAAGAAAGGGGATCAGGGTAGAAACAAAGCAGGTAATAAAGAGAGAAAGGGACCAGATTGTGTCATACCCATAATTTTTCACAATCTACGGGGTTACGATTCACACCACCTCATTAAACATCTAGACAAATCAGTGAACCAACAGCTTAGCTGCTTAGCTAACAACATGGAGAAATACATTTCCTTCTCCATTGGAAATTTAAGGTTCATTGATTCTCTCCAGTTTCTTTCAGCTCCCTTAGATACTTTAGTTACAAATCTGGTGAAGAAAGACCCATCCCAGTTCTGTCATTTAAGAAAGGAATTTCCAATCCCATCTCAGGCAGAGCTGTTATTGAGAAAGGGGGTCTATCCCTATGACTTCATGGATGATGAATGCAAATTTAAACTGACTCAACTCCCTAAACAGGCAGATTTTTTCAGTAAGTTAACTGGAAATTCTCTCACTGATGGAGATTATGCACATGCACAAAATGTGTGGTCTTTCTTTGAATTACAAAACATGGGGGAATATCACGACCTGTATGTGAAAACAGACGTATTGCTTTTAGCAGATATCTTTGAACGTTTTAGAGCAATGGCACTCCAGTACTATCATTTAGACCCAGCTCATTACTACACTCTCCCTGGCATGGGATGGGATGCCATGTTGAAAATGGGAAAGGTTGAGCTTGAGCGTTTGACTGATATTGACCAAATTCTCATGATAGAATCAGGAATGAGGGGTGGTATTAGCATGATATCGAAGAAACACAGCCTTTCAAACCTTCCAGGGCAAGATGGTTATCATTCAGATAAACCGAACAAACATTTGATATACTGGGATGCGAACAATCTCTATGGGTGGGCAATGTCTCAAGCCCTACCTGAGCGAAATTTTGAGTGGGTTGAGGATGTTGATGAGTTAGATATTATGGGTGTGACCCCTGATGCTGACATTGGATATATTTTAGAGGTGGATTTAGAATATCCCACATATCTGCTTGATGCCCACAGTGACTATCCCCTTGCTCCTGAGTCTATGATAGTAACCAAGGACATGCTTTCATCACACTCTGAGAAATTGAAAGAGAAACTGGTAATCAAGGGAAAACCAAGTGGAAAGCTTGTCCCTAATTTGTTCAACAAACAGAAATATGTCTTACATTATAGAAATTTGCAGTTTTATCTGAGTCAGGGATTGATTCTCACAAAGATTCATAGAGCCATTCAGTTCAGACAGACGCCATGGCTTAAACCATTTATTCAATACAGAGAAACGTAGACAGTCTACAGATAAGTCTGACAAAGCTTTTTCCAAACTGATGAATAACTCTTGTTTTGGTCGCAGCATGATGAATGTGCGAAAGCATGTGAATGTGGAACTTGTCAATTCTGACAAACGCCTGAGAAAGCTGTGTGCCAAACCCACTTTTGAAGCATTCAAAATTTTTAACCCTGATTTAGCTGCTGTTCACTTGAAGAAAGTTTGTTTTTTAATCAACCTCTGTACGCTGGTTTTTCCATATAAGATTTATCCAAAGTACACATGTACGACTTCCACTACAACTTCATTAAACCCAACTATGGATCCAAAGCACAGTTGTGTTTTACAGACACAGACTCGCTGTGCTATGAAATTGAAACCCCTGATTTGTATGGGGACATGGGAAGGCATGCACATCTGTTTGATACTAGTAATTATGAAAAAGACCACCCTCTCTTCTCAAGACAAAATGAAAATGTGTTAGGAAAATTCAAAGATGAATTGAAGGGAGAGGAAATGATTGAGTTTATAGGTCTCCGCCCCAAAATGTATTCCATGTTTTATAAAGAAACAGAAACAAAAACAGTTGATGGAGAGGAAGTTGAAATAGTACTTGATGCAGAGAAAAAGACAGCCAAAGGCATTAGCGAAACCGTAAAAAACAAACATCTTTGCCATGAACTGTACAAACAGTGTCTTTTTTGACAAGGTAGAATTCAGACATGAGGTGGGACAAATTCAGAGTAAAAGCCATCAGCTGTACACTGCTTGCATCAACAAAATCAGTCTTTCCCCTTTTGATGACAAACGTTTTGTGTTAAAAGATGGGATCCACACACTAGCCCATGGCCATTACAAGATTAAGTTAGATTCAGACTTGTAATTCTTTCATAAATATGTATATTGTGGAAGCCATTTCATACCTCTCTTCTCAGATGTATATTTATGTATTGTTGATGTACCTAGCTAACCCATACTGTAGCTTCAAGTTATGTTTTTTGTTTTGTTTTTGTTTTTTGTTGTTGTTTTTTTGCTTAGAACTGGAGAATGTCAATATGTACATAGTTTTGCTAGAGCGGATCCTTTTTGACCAGCTGTACAGTTGATGTTTGATTTGTGTATTACATAGCTGGATAAGGCTCTATATGCGCCTCAGCTTTAAAACACCATTAGCTTTGTAACATGTATAGACAGTTAAACCATGACATGTCCATTGACTGATTGTTCATTGTGCTATTTGACAAATGTATATTCAATTCTTGAATATGTTATGATTACTATATTGTGTTTGTGTTCATGAAATAAAGATATTGACTTTCATCTTTGGTTGTGTTATTACTGGGTGTGCTTCTACATCTCAAGGTTATAATAATAACTGTAGCTTGTGTATGACGATTGAATCATGTTGAGAAAGAAGAAATCAACCATATATAATACTATTTACACACTTTATTACATATATACATTAATACACTTTGACCATGAGACATATACATTGATATATTGGATACAGTTTTAATTCATATGTGTATTCATATTAGACACAGGACGCATCCATATATGATACAAAGAATGTGGAGTTCACAGTTCACCATGATCTGTATCATCATGCTCAGACATGTCAACAAGTTCTAAATCTTCAGCCTGGCTCAAGTCCACATGAGAGAGAATATCTTTCACGACAGGTTTCATCCACTGAGTGATTTTAGCATCCATTTCTTTGGGGTCCATGTCAGGGTCCAGGGCAGTGATTTTCTCTAATATAGGCTTGAAGAGGGGTCCATATCCAAAATAGCTGGCATAACAAACGGCTATCGCAAGTCTATCAAGAAAAGTAGTTTGCCAGCATTTTTTGTAGTTGTTTCTCAATCCATCGTTCATTCTTTCCTTTATCCTCAAAGTCCTCCTTTTTCTTCCAGATGTCCTCCTTACAAGCTTTCAAAGTTTGTTCCCACATGTATTCTAACCCTTTCACTTCTCTCTCTTGATCAACTTTAGTACCTATCTCTACCGGACGCAGGATATCATTCTTAGGATCATCAGCTGCATCCAGTTTTACTCGCTTCTGTAGAGGCTCGCCGTCATTCTCAGGACACCAGGTTCTAACATGACGTTGAAGGTCATGATTGTTTTCAAATACAATACTACACTCGTCACAGGAAGGCATGTTTTCGTCTTCTGAGTAAAGAGTGTTCGCCACTACCTCAGGGATGTTCACCCTTTGAGCGTCAGGAGTCAAATGACGCGGTGGCTCAAGTTGCTCCTCTTTTATAGACCGGATCCCAGACTCGCTTTGTCTTGATTCTGGTGCGGGATATGGTATGTATCCTTTTGGTATTTCTGGGACTGAGGGTATGTAATCTTTTGTGACTACATTAGGTTCTAGTCTATCTGATTCAAGACTGGTGGGCCGTAGGTCGATAGTCAGATTGCCATAGGGCTTTTGAACAGCTGTCTCATACACTGACATAAACCTATCAGCATTGTTGGGGTAGATACGTCTGGCAAACAATTGGACTTGTAGTTCATCCACAGGAGAGTTAAATAGAGTCACATAGTGGGAATTCAGAGCGATGTCACGTGACTCCTTCCCCCGCGGAAATAAATTTTGTAGCAGCAGAAAGACAATAACATTTTTGTGATGAGAAGTTCGTGTAAATAACTGACTGACACGTTTATCATCCTTAGCTTCACACATCATGTCATCCAACAGCATCATGTTGTTATTTCTAGCATCCAAGTAGGTATCGTCAAGTACATTGTAAGGAATTCCTTTCACAAACTTCACATGGGGCAACTGTTCACTGATCACCTGGTACAGGGGCTGCCATTGGGTATAGCACCAGATAATGTGATTAGGTGCTGGCTGTATACATCCCTTCGTGAGAAGGTTGTAGATAAACATAGATTTACCACTGCCAGTAGGGCCCACAACAACTGCATTAGAGGGGATGGTAAACTTGAAATGTTCTTTATCATTGAATTGATTGTGGTTTCGCTGTTGCTTTTACATTGAGTTATGCGGCGGCCGTGGTAATTGCGGTGGCGACGGTAATTATGTCTGCGGCGGCGGTAATTGTGTCTGCAGCGGCGGTGGGGGGTAATTGTGTCTGCGGCGGTAATTGTGTCTGCGGCGGCGGGGGTAATTGCGTCCGCGGCGGTGGATTTTTATAATCAATAATGTGCTTATGTCTCCTGTGTCTCAGCATAACATCCTTCCTTGAAAACCGTCTCTGACAATCTGGACATGTTGCTTCCATGGTGGTTCTGTATCCAAGTGAGAAGTGCATCACATGTATCATTATTTATATACCCTGGAGGTCCTGCTCTGGGATCCAGCTGTTGAATTTCTTAGGATAGCCCATCCATTTAACATACACCTCTTTTCTACCAGCTCTCTTCCTCTTCTTCAAGACTTTCTCAACACGCCACATGGTGTCTGCAGACTTATAGGCTTTCTGAAGTTCATTCGCATAAAAAGTACCTGTGATTGGATCCTACCATGTCCTTGATTGGATCCATCCATGTAGTATCGCCTAACAATAAAGATTTCCTCCGTCCATTTCTCCTGATAGTCACGTTGAAAGACATGTCTCAAATGTGACAGTCGCACCTGATCCCCTACTTTGAATTTAAAGGCTTTCCGTCTTCTTTCATTGATCTTCTCTGCTTTGGGTTTGACTTGTTTGTGCAGTGGATCAATGTACTGTTCATTCCAAACAACAGATATCAATGGGTGAACGTTCATTCAGCGACCTATGAGGTCTCTGGTTATAATCTTTCACCAAGTCTTGCAAAACATCAATATAATGGTATGATTGTTTGTAAGTAAAGTATCTGTACATAGTCGCCTTAAGGGTTCGTATGACTCTCTCGGCATAAGATGCTTTGGTTTCATTCTGAGTGACATAGTAGGTAATACCCTTGTTGGCTAAATATGATCTCACTTTCTTGTTATCAAATTCACGACCTTTGTCGGATCTGATAATGTGTGGAAGAGTAGCACGAGCAAATAACTTCTTCATGGCCTTAAGGACTGCGTCTTGTGTTTTATTTCTAAGGGTTTCCACCCATAGAAATCGTGTGAACATATTGATAGCTATCAATAAGTATTTTACACCTTCATTGTCCGAAGCTACATTTGATACATCGGCCAAGTCTATATCCCACCCATCGTTCAAACCAATTGAGATCACTCTGTTCCGCTTGAACTTGTACCTCAGAGGTCGCTGAAGTTAATAGGCATCTTGAGAAGCGAGCCACTTTTTTGATGTGATGTAAGCTGATATTAAATTTCCCTTCCTTTTTCACCATGTGATATAACTTAGTTGAACCCGAGAAGGAGGCTGGGTGTTTGGGATTAAAGTAAATGCTGGACAAATACTCTTTCCATCCTTCAGCGGGCATGGTGAGAAGACAAATGGTATAAAAATAAATTGCATATATATGTTTTTATAAGAAACCATGTCTCATTCAGAAGCGATCGGTTTACACAGGCTACGACTGGCCGACTGTGTGACCAAGTTTCGCTCTCACTGTACAAGCAGTGCTGTTGTGTAAGACCTATAACGGTTTGTTTACACAGGTGACTCTACCTCGTCTCGCTATATGTGTGAGCTAATTCCTCTCACCGTTGCATTCCACTTAATATATACTTGGGATGAAAAGATGACCTATTTATAGACTTTCCCATTTATTGTACAGTGAAATATAACAGTCCATACAATATCTCTTTTAAGATGTTAAGTACTGCTTCCAACACCTTGCGAGGGAGTTTTCCAGTTTACATACATACAATCACGTTCGGTCTATGACAATCTCACTACCACCCAGACTGTATCCTTAATCTGCTTTACAAACAAGCCTTGTCTCCGTGCTTGACTATGGTCATTAAACAATTAATTATGAATACATGCTGGATTACAAGTCGTCTCCCTCCATCATAGTCACAAGCCAGCTCTCGCTATCTTTAAACTTGGGGAACTCCATTTTCTAAAAATAGCCTGGTGTATTGCGCC